GTTAATTCGCCATATGTATGTACGAGTTATGTATTTAATTGTTAAATACATGTTTTAAAAAAAAAAATTTAAATTCCGCTGCGTATAGCTCGTACGGTACAGGCGAACCCAACAGTAGTATCAGAGCCATGGTTATCATCTTTAAAAATAGATTTTGATTTGTATCATGTTTATATGATAAACAAGATAATTAAATGTTTATTTGATAAACATATTAATTATAAAATAAAAAAAAAAATCGCGAAACAAGTCGCGAGTCGCGACATAGAGTCGCGACATGTAGTCGCGAGTCGCGAATTGTTGTTTACAAGTCGCGAATTCAAATTTTTCGAGCCCCAGTTTATCGCGAGTCGCGAGATACGTCGCGACATGGGTCGCGAGTCGCGAGATAAGTCGCGACATGTTCGCGAGTCGCGAGTTTTTCTGGATTAGCCTCTGTTCGTCTCGCGAGTCGCGAGTTGAGGTCGCGAGTCGCGACAAGGAGTCGCGAGTCGCGAGTCGCGTAAGTCGTGAGTCGCGACTTGATAAAAATAAAAAAAATAAAAATAAAAAAAAAATAAAAAATTATTCATGTGATGAATGTTTTTTAGGGATGATCATGAGCCTAATACACATAATGAATGAATGGATGCATTTTATTTCAATATGATTGAATGTTTGCATGTTTTATTCAATATGGTTGAATGTTGTATATTATTCAATAAGATTGAATGAATGTAATTTATCGAGACCTGCGAGTCTCTTGAGATTTGATTTGTAAAATTTTAAAATTTTGTATCGTTAGAAAGATTAGATCAAAGGTGGAGACCGTTCGACGCGAAAGGCCCACGATAGTGTGGGTAATTTTACAAGTTGAAAATCTCGAAGGCCTGTGCTTGTACGGGTAGATAAAATGAATTGTAATAGAAGTAGTTCTATTTATTTGTTTTATCACGTACATAGGCATAGACCCATTTTGGCTCTAATGGATCGTATAGGCAAGGACATGATCATCCCACCGTATGCATGCATTAGATGTATGTTAGGTTTATTTATGTTTTCGATTCATGCGATGGATGAAATGGTAAATAAACGTAAAGATGGTAAACGATGAGATCACGGAACCCTAAAGAATTAATAAGATTAATTCATATCATATCAATAATGGATAAAAATAAGTTGGGACTTATTAATCCAGGTCTTCCATCAAAAAGTACACGACATGAGATGCTACGATGCTCTATCACTTACCATGAGTCGTGCGGTGGTTTTGTGTCGAAGGCTGTGATCCCTACTACGTATATTGATACTTGTGAGACGGATTCCTCTTTGTGTTGACCATGAGTCGTGGGACACTCTGGTGGGCCGTTATCATGAAAGTTTTTGATGGGTTTGATTTGACACCGAGTAATATATACGGTCATATTCTTGAGGTATATAAGGAAAGGTGAGGCAAAGTATCTTGAAGGTTGTATATCGATACAATTGTCAAAATGTTGACTACCAGTATAAATGTTCCATGCGTACTCATATTCTTGGTATATGGAATATTCTTATTGGACTTCAAGCCCACTATGAAAATTAGATTTTCAAAATTAAAATAGGGTTTTAATTAAATTAGTGGGAGACATTTAATATTTAAAGACCTAATATTAAATGAATATGAATTTCATAGTCTAATTATTTTCTGCTTCGTGTGTTGTTTTGTATATCAGTCTACTAAAATGGCTAAAAATCCAATTGCAAGTATCCTTGAACAAAACAAA